AAAAAAAAAAAAAAAAAAAAAAAAGCATCTACTGTAGAAACGTTTACTTGCACCTCTAAAAAAATAAATAAACATTTATTGACCAGTGTTACCTTTAATTATATGTTATTTTCAAGGGAGACCCGGTGGTCGACCGGTTAGCGCATCAGCCTCACAGTGCAGAGGTGCAGGGTTCAATTCCGGCTCCGGCCTTCCTGTGTGGAGTTTGCAAGTTCTCCCTGTGCCTGTGTGGTTTTTTTCTGGATACTCCGGTTTCCTCCCACATTCCAAAAACATGCATGGCAGGCTGATTGAACACTCGAAATTGTCCCTACGTGTGAGTGTGAGCGCAGATGGTTGTTCGTCTCTATGTGCCCTGCGATTAGCTGGCAACCGGTTCAGGGTGTCCCCCGCCTACTACCCGAAGATAGCTGGGATGGGCTCCAGCACCCTTGTGATGATAAGCAGATCAGAAAATGGATGGATGGATAAATAATTATTTTCATTTATGATGAAGGCTTGCAGCCTGTTCATGATTCATGACAATAATTATCAGTAATGACTTATGGGGATAAAAATCAACATGCAACACTTTATTTTGCTAAATCTCTGCACCTTTTTCCCTTTACAAATGATCACTACTACAACAAAGTTCCAAAATCGCAAAGTCCAATCACTCGTGGGTTATTTTTAGACCAGGCTTGTGTTGCGGGCTTCTCATGTGGTCCTTGGGGTCAACCACACGGCCTCCCTGCTTTAGTGAAACCGCATTGTGCACAAAACCGATCAGTGGATGCCGTAAATGCAATCTGTTGGTCATAAGGATATTACATTTTTGTTGTGGTGGTATTTCAGCTTTGTCACGTAAAACTGTATTGTGAGGTGATGACATTGTTCTGATTTTATACAATGTTTTTCTCCTAATATTACAAGTTTATTATTGTAACTTCATGCCTTACGTGTAATTATTTGTGTGTGTGTGTGTGTGTGTGTGTGTGTGTGTGTGTCTTGACTTCTGGTCAAAACGTGTTATTTAAAATATATTTTTTTCAAATCCATGTACTAAATACAGAAACGTGGATTTATGTATTTTCTTTTTTTTTTTTTTTTTTTTTGGAGGGGGGGGTAGTTCTTCTCAGACAAAACTTATTTGAAGCTATAGTTAAACTGATACCAAAATATTGAAAATACTAAAAAAAAAAAAAAAAAAAAAACATCTGATAATTCTTTTTAATTATATGTTCCCCAGATTTGTTGGTATCTATGCTTAAAAATGTAAATATTATTATCATAGTAATTTGATAGATTGGGATTCCCTATGTTCAAATACATAAGCATGATAAGAGAAGTTCTTTTACCTTGCTAATTAGTATCGGTTGTCAACACTCGAAGCTTTGTCAGAGCTGTGACTGCTTCCTGCAGGGTTCGATTCCGGCCTTCCTGTGTGGAGTTTGCATGTTCTCCCCGTGCCTGCGTGGGTTTTCTATGGGAACTCCGGTTTCCTCCCACATTCCAAAAAGATGCACGGCAGGTTAAACACTCTAAATTGTCCCTTGGTGTGATTGTGAGCACGAATGGTTGGTTGTCTCTGTTTGCCCTGCGGTTGTCTGGCACCCAGTTCAGGGTGTCCCCTGCCGACTGCCCAAAAACAGCTGGGATAGGTTCCAGCATGCTCACGAACTTCGTGAGGAGCAGCAGATTTGAAAATGGATTGTTGGATATTAGAAAGAAAGTGCGTATTTTTTTTTTACAATGTCTATACTTTAGGCTTTACACGGTCAGCTGGAGAATAGACATTAAAGTTCTGCTACTGTTCCGTAAATCACTAAACTATTCGGTTTAGGTCGTGAACAGTAAAGAAATGGTAATGGTTATAATCCCAGTAGGGCTTTGACTCAAGTCAATTAGTATCTATTATGCTGCACACAAATGGAATAAGCTTCAAACAGAAGTGAAGTCGGTTCCAAATGTCACTGTTTTTAAACCCAGATTAAAAACTCGACTTTGATCTTTCGTACCTTTTTTCTTGCGATGTACATTCTTTTTTGTAATTAGTTTAATTGTGTAAAGCGCATTGAGTTACCTTGTGTATGAAATGCTTCATATAAGTAAAGCTGCCTTGCCCAGACACCATGACACATTTTTGTATCTTCGTGTGAATTTGTGTATAACACTTATAATACTCAATCTCAATTGCATTTTTATGAAGAAGCATTTTCACAAAGCCTTTTTGCCTTCCAATTTTTGATTCCAAGTCCAAATCAGCTTTCCTCTTGGCATATTTGGATGGAATTTCCTCAGAAATGCATGCCGCATTCTAGTGTTTGACTGTGTATGAGCATATTCTAACACCCAAATTCCTTTCAGTGCTTATGAATGTCATGTTTTCACCCTGCGGGGGGGGGGTAAAAAGTTCAACTATAGTTTTTACACATCTCATTAATATTGAGATCTTTCAAGTGAGCATTGGCTATGTTATTAGATTGAAATGATGCTGTGATTAAAAAAAAAAAAAAAATTTGGGGATCTCCTTTTGTACTAAAGATTTAACAAGAAATAGGATTGACTAGTACATACCGGTATCATGAAATGTGAGAAAATGAGGCCCTCAAAAACACAAGTCATTTCTATGAACCTTTTTGTTGTTGTTTTTTTTGTTTGTTTGTTTGTTTTTTTAATGACAGGTTTCAATCTTACTGCACTAGTTTGGACAAAATCCACAGCTAGTTTCACGCTTTGTTATGAACACAGCACTGAGCACGTCTGTAATTAATCAAGCAGAAACTCTTGACGTCAGCAGCGTGGCCTACTTGCGCAAGCTCCCTCCGCTCTCCCATAGATTTGTCTTCTGAGGGCAACCCGTAAAAAGTAAATGGAGGCTCTTATCGCGCCTTCTCTGC